GTCTACCATCATGATCCTGAATCAAAACAGGAGGTGAGCCCGGCTATTCGGCGCCGAAGCGAGTTTGTGTGCAAAAACCAGTCAAGAAGGTGTTAGCATCAGTTTTTTGGGATGCGAAAGGAACTTTGCTTATAGATTACCTTCAAATTGGCAAAACAATTAATTCGGATTATTATTGTAACCATTTGAATCAATTAGACGAAAAAATTCATGAAAGTAGACCCGGATTACAGAAGGAAGAAAATCATTTTCTACCAAGATAACGCACCTGTGCGCACAGCTCAAAAAACCATTGCTAAAATAACTGAATTGAAGTATGAATTGTTGCAACATCCAGCCTATTTGCCAGATTTAGCTCCCTCCGACTTCTGGCTCTTCCCACACCTCAAACAATATCTCCGTAGAAAACGATTTTTTCTTCAAACGAAGAGGTAATAGCTGCCGTGGAGGGATATTTTGCAGAGCTGCCGAAAAACCACTACAGTCAAGGGATCCATAAATTAGAAGACCGTTGGAATAAGTGTATCGAAGTTGAGGGAAACTACGTTGAAAAATAAAGTCATTTTTACAAATAAAAATTGGTTTCTTCATTTCTGTTCCGCGAACTTATTGAACAATCTGGTATGATTAAAATCAGCATAGCTTTAGAATTTCCAAGACACAGTCTCATGCGCTGGAGATAAAAAATCACCCCCCCCCATACAGTTTTGCCATTGCTCACTTTGAAATCATTGAGTTTGTTAATAAAAAATTTGTTGAAGTGTTACAAAATATGAAATCAATAATAAAACAATTTTCTACTTTCAAATTAGGGCTTCCAGATGCCCATATTCGGTGGAAGAATTATGCTATTCAAAATTTCATGGCTGAAGGTACTGTTGTTTTATCAAAATATGAGAAACATATGTACATTTATGCAGATTCTTCATTCTTTAAATATTACACAGGGCAATAATATTTGGTGGCAACAATTCGAAAAGTGAACCGACATTTAAAAAAAAAAAAAAAAAAAAAATTACTCAATGATCTTTTTGAAAAAGATAACTTTTCTTATAGATGTTTCTTGCTTTTTTTTTTCTTTTTCCTTTTTCTTTTCTTTTCTTTTTTTTTTTAATTTTATCCCTTTATTGCTCTTTTATGAAATTCTTTGTGCACCACCATTTTGAAAAGGGCTGTTGCCTTATTTCAATGCTGATAATTAGAAACTATCAAATTGCTATAACTTTCAGCCGACCAAAAGCAATTCCACTATTAGAAAAACTCCTTATACACAAAGTCATAAATGAACATAACAATAAAAGTCTATCAGAATGTTTATTAAACTAATACATAGGTATTTAAATTTGTCATTTAATGAATCTTAAACAGTTTGCCTACATTCATTTTGTCTAAAGCCCGAAATATAACTAAAGTTGTTTAGATTGGCTTGGTCTTTTTCAAACTTATCCAAAATACCAGGTAACCACAAAAGTTCATGTGGTTTTTGAGAACAGTTACTTTTGGCAGGTTAGTGTGGTCAAACTCATTCTGACGACATCATACGTTTACACTCCTTTCAAACCTTATTCTGTGGTGCATTGCACATTTTGCAATAAGTTTTGTAGGATGCACAAAGTACAAAAGAACGTGTCGTTGGAAATGAGATTTTTAGGCCTATTTTGTCGAGTGCACATCAGGAAACAAAGCTGCAGAGGCTGCTAGAAGAATATGATCCACATTTGGAGAGACATCAGTGAGTGAACTGACTGCTCAAAAGTGGTTCAGCCAATTTTCTTCAAGACAGGAGTGCCTTGAAGAAAAGCCTTGTGTTGAACACCCATCCAATCTTGACAAAATCTAGCTGGAGAAGGAATTCAAGCAGAATCCTTATTGTATCTGCCAGGGGTTTGCACACAGGTTCAAAAAAAACTGATGAAACCATTTGATCACATCTTCATAATGTCGGGATAACACACACAGAAACTAAGCAAGTGGGTTCATGTCCTATCCGAGGAAACAAGCTCCAATGGTTGAACATCTGCTTGTTGCTGAAGTGCCATAAGAAAGTCTCGTTTCCAGACCAAATCTCGACATCTGATGAAAAATGGATCATGTATGATAACCGGAATAGGAAATATCATTGGTCGACTTCGAGTTCGGACTTGCTAGCTGCTAATCAGACATTCACCAAAAGAAGGTAATGCTGTGTCTTTGGTGGACCAGCACTGGCACAGTCCATTATGAATATCTATAATGCAGAAAACCTAAAAGAGCTCATGTCTACTCATAACAATTGCAAAGAGTTTCAGCTGCAGTGCACCAGAAACAGCCAGCACTGGTCAAAAGAATTCTCCTCCTCCACAATAATGCCAAACCTTATATAGCAAAAGCGACCAAAGAGATGCTCAAAACACTGTGCTAGGAAGTTCTGCCTCAGTCACCCTATTCCCCAGACATCATCCCTATTGGACTATTACCTGTTTTTGGCCACGGATGGCCTGTAGGAACAGCAGTTCTGAAAACATGACATTGTCACAAAGCTTGTATCACAATTTCTGGACGTCCCTGACATTTCTGGGCATGGGTTCCTATGCAATTCTTAATCCTTATGACGTGCCCTCCTTCCCTTAGAAGTTTGTCGCAACATTTACAGTACACTCTATATAGTTTCTAATACAATCCTACATTATTCAAATGCCCTTTTGAAAACAAACATCAGATTGAGTAGAACGAGTGCATAAATTACTATTCATGAAATTCATGGGGGGGGAAGCCTTAAAAATGCATTGTATAACAAGGAACTGAAAAGTTCACAGCAGTTTCATTGTTGAAAAAAATCTCCAGTTAAGTATCTAAAATTAGTACACACACATACAGTGGTGGCCAAAATTGTGGACACTTGGAAATTTTTATGTTTTTGAACTTTGTATGCTTATGCTTTTAGAAAACGTTACGTTTCACAAAATGCAAACTTGTATATATCATTTTAAAGATAATTTATTACTGAATTCAATACAAAACACAAAATTCAGTTATTTGCAATACAAACGATAATAGTTATCGATATACATTAGATAGTGATGATTGCAGTGAGTTATCAGTACTTAGTAGGGTACCCTTTATTTTTTATTACAGTTTCACATCGACGTTTCATTGAGCTTACAAGAGTTTTAAGCTCTTCTTTCATTATTACATAATACCAGGAAACAATTATAACCTCAATTAGTTCCCTTTTATTTGATGGGTGCCTCATTCGGACAAGAGTTTTCAAAAGGTGCCACAAATTTTCGATACGATTGAGGTCAGGACTGTTTCCTGGCCATGACAACAATTTAATGCTCTTTGTACGAAACCACTCTTTCGATATTTTGGCCGTGTGGCAAGGAGCAGAATCCTGCTGAAAAATAAACGAAGCATTGTTGGGAAAGAGATCTCTGATGAAAGGTAAAAGTTTTGGTTCTAGAATAGTGTCAATGTATTTTCTGGCATTCAGTGTCCCATCGATGACATGAAGGCGATCAACACCATCTGCTGACGTGCATGACCAAATCATAACACTAACTGGGTTCTTCACAGTTGCTTGAATGCAGTCAGGATGTAGCTCTTCTCCTATTCTACGTCTTACATATTTTCGCCCATCACTACCGAATAACGATATCTTTGTTTCATCACTTCATATAACTTGTCACCACTGATCATCTGTCCAATTAATGTGTTCCTTTGCCCACTATAGTCTTTTTTTTTTTCGTTGTTGAAAATTAAGATAAGGCTTTTTTCGTGGAATTCTATCTCTCGGTCCAACATCTGTTAATCTTCTCCTGATTGTTCTTGAACTGACAGAAACAGAAACACCAGCATCATTCAGATCACTTTTGATGGCCATTGATGACATTTTTCTATCTTGGAGCCATAGTCATTTTATTCTTCTGTCATCAATAGATGTGGTGCACCTTTTTCGGCCTTTTCCTTCTCTTTTTTTTATTGAATTTGTCTCCTGATATCGTAAACAAAACTTTCGGACTCCAGATGTAGTCACTGAACCACCCACCTGTCTTGCAATTTCAGCATAGGAAAGACCACTTTCTCGTAACAACAATAATATTACATTTCTTTCTAGGTGTCCAATCTACCTTTTATTTGATGTCATTGCTTCTTGACTAAATATTAAAAATTTTTTCAAAAATTCCTACTTGTAATTGCAGTGTATAAGAAACAGGTTCTCCTTCTACAGAACAAAGCAAAACAATGAATTGTTTCAAGTGTAAACATTATGTCAACTTCTACTGGCATTACTAACATTTGATGGGTTCTCAGAACAAGAACAGTGATTGGCCAGGAAAGCTAGACATTACAACCACTCATAACTGTGTTTTTTAATTTATATTTGAAAGTACACATAACTTTTTTTGTATTGCAAATAACTGAATTTTGTGTTTTGTATTGAATTCAGTAATAAATTCTCTTTAAAATGATATATACATGTTTGCATTTTGCAAAACGTAACATTTTCTATAAGCATACAAAGTTCAAAAACATAAAAATTTCCAAGTGTCCACAATTTTGGCCACCACTGTATACTAGTAACCACAAGATGGGTCCAGAAAAAAAGGATTTTTTTTTTTTTTTTAAAGGGCATTTATAAGCTTGTATTTTGTTGATAATATGTAATTGAAGCCAATGGTGATTATTTCGAAGAATACAATAGGTGCTTTTTAAGATTTTTTGTGGGCAATTTTTGATGAGTGATGAAAACCACATTAAATTTCTTGGTTACTTGGTATACACATCAGGTAATAATTTTTAATAAAAAATAAAAAAAAAAAAAAAAAAAAAAAAAAAAAAGGAACAAATATATTACATTATTTGATTCTACTCGTTAGAAAATTTTTAACAAAATTTACAGAAATCCACGATTTTAATGTCAAATATGCTTTGTTACAGGCTTATTTTACAGTTCTAGCCTTATATGTTACATCATTTCAATTACTATTCTGCAAACTTAAAAAAAACCTCCACATTACCAGGAGCATTTGCTTGCCAAGAGGCTGTTGTGGGAAGTGAAGATGGTGGTACAGCAGTGCGCTGTAAAGGTGTATTGCTTGAACAATATGAACCCACACGAGTAGGAGAGCCAGCATCTTGATTTTCATTCATAGTAGAGCTGTTTAAACTGCCTCGAATGTCTTGTTCAAGATTCACATTTTCTAAAGCTGAAGGCCCATTAGTGGTAGTTATTCTTGACATTACGAGCTACCTTGAAAGAAAGAAGATTAAATCACAAACACAACCAAAAAAAGTAATACTAAATAGGTAGTAGAATTGCTTAAACTTTTAGCACATGTAAAAACAAGCTAGATTCATTACTTTTAGAGATACAGGAGAAAGATTATAATTACAAGTAACATAAACCATTCTACTCTGAACTACGTTAAATGTTTTTCATTTTTGGAGTAATTTAAAAGTCCATTTTCACAGCTTTATGAAACTGGACTTTTATGCTATTGCTTAAATAAGTGTCAATATATTAGGTTTAATAGATACCTTATACTCACATGTATAGGTGGCACCTAAAATTTTACCTCCAATTAAAAAAAAAAAAACAACAACTTGAGGATAAGCCATGGATAGCCTGTTAACCATCTACAATACTTCCCCCCCCCATTTTGATGTATGAAAAGCAGCTAAAAGGAAAACAGTACTTACTACATACTGAGATAATATTTTTATTATTGGTCAAAAGAAAAATGTACTTTTCTTCAGACAATCAGCAACAGCAATTAAACTTACAAATTCCTATGTAACAATAACCCAAGAGTGGATTTTATAGTCAATCATTAAATAGAAGCTGCTGTGTTGCCATGTTTGCATGTATCTATTTCTAATCATTCATGTATATAACACCCATCACTGATTTTCATCTGCTTTGTGAAAAAAATGTCGGGCTTATACACGTGAGAATATGGTAATTCAGCAAGGTTGACTAGACTAGCTAAAGAAAATAACACACAACGGTCTTCAAACACTAGGACTGCAACAGTAGGATATGGACCAAAAAAATTAAATCAGATTTATTATGAAATTAACAAATTAGCCATTTAAAAATATCCATTTTTTGAGTGAATATAAATATTTAAAATCAACATATAATGCAATTAATTTTCCATTCCAAGTTTTTTATCCATGCACAAAGTTTCAATTATGTAATCATTCTAATCTATAACAAAAGTTTGTATTATGAGCAGTCTAATTAAACTTCGGAATTTGCAAATAATGTATAATTTCTTATATACTTACAGAATATATACCTTAATTGTAACAAATCATATTAAATATATTAGGTTAACCAATAAGTAATGCCCTTTCTACATAATGTAATCTCGAAATTGCTATACTATGTTTCTTCCGCTGTTTCTCTTCCTTACTGCATGATACTGTTAAAAATTTGTACATAGATAGGTAATTTTAGGGCAATTATATGTGAAAATGTTGTATTTTTCTGTGTGATGAAAGATGAAAAATCGAGAATGAGAGAAGCTACGCTGGAAAAGTAAGAAAACAGGGAAAGTCTGTTTAGCATTAACCCTTTCTAGCACAGAGTACCCAAAAAATTCTCTCTGTACTCACAGAAAAACTGAATGGAAAAGGCTTTATAGGTTAGTATAGGCTACTTTTAACCTTCTTCATTTATACTAGATGGCAGCACAACACAAACCAGTCCATACATTTTAGCCATATTTTAGTTTTTCAAGACACTCATTTTCCAAAGAAATCTTCCAGAATTTTTTTTTAGGATATAAAAGGAGGTTTGAAAAGAAATTTCTATAGTATTATCTTGGCTGCAGGCTGATCTCTTTATTCTATACTAGTTTTAAATTTTTACCTTGAAATCTTGCCTAAAATCGAATCACGAACATCTGGTGTGCTCAGAGTGGAATCACTGAAACACTAGGACCAGACCAAAAACTGTATCTTTATTTCACTGCAGAATTTTCTTCCGTGAGCTCATTCACAATAGAAAGGTGGGTGCACATCTGTGTTCACTTCCTGTTTTTCTTTTCGTTTTGTTTTTTGGAGGGGAGGTTTGGTTATCAACTAAGAAATTGTTGGAGTGTTTTTCTGAAGGTCAGGGGTAATTTTATCAGTTAGCCCTTTGATTTTTCACTAAAGCAGTTCTCATTTTTCCTTTTGCTTTCATTTAAAGAAGTTTTGTTAGCACTATGTTTTGAATTGTAGATGTTTTATTTAATTTTATTTTATAGTTTACATTTTCTCAATTGTAGATATGAAATTAGTTTATTTTTTCGAGTTTTATTTACTTTGCAAATGGATCGGAAAGGGGTGACCAATTTCTGAAGCACTGAAAGTGCTAAACAAATTGCCTTCCGATAGTGAATCCAATACAGATCCCCATACATAAGGCAAAACATGCTATGTTGGGTTGTGCTTTTCCAAAGGTGGTGTCACTTGCTTCAAAAAGTACCACCATGAAAACACAATGGATGAAAGTTTAAATATGAAATGTAAATAATGTAAATATCATATAGCTAAGTTACCTCTTTATATTTACACACTAGTGTTTTTTAACTGTAGGCAAAATCTTTTACTCTATTATGTGCTTCCCAACAGTGGCATAGCTAATGGTGGGGCATATCCAGAAAGCTTCTTCCACTATAGAATTAGCTTTTCTTAAAGCTTTTCACATTCACAAAAATTTACCGTGTTTAGTTAATGATTTTAATCCAATCCTACCTAATACTTTTAAATCTCTATTATCCTAATTTTTCAATTTTTGTTATTATTTTTTACTAACAGATGGCGCTACTCTCTTGACTTCCTTAGGGTATAAATATGTTCGTAACTTGGTTTTCCAGTCGTCTTTCGTCCGCATCTGGCATGAGGGACTCATTGCAAAACTAATCAACCTTAATTTTGAAAGAGAAATTTTTCTGATCATCCTCTCATTTATCTCGGACAGGACTTTTAAAGTGTACGTTGAAGGAGCTTACTCTATTTATTTTATGCTGCAGACTTCCCTAAACCCAACAGTAACGACTCCATCCTTGCATGTTACGCAGATGATACTGCCCTGGCAGTTAAGTCTGCGAACATTAACTTCACTATTAAGAAACTACAAACTTTCATTCCAAGTATCAAGTCATCGTGTGCAAATTGGAAAGTGAGGATCTCAATTATTGATAATTCGCAAAAGACAAAGAAATAAGCAAGTGAAGAATCACCTTCTCTTCTTTAATGAAAGAGTTCCTATAGAAGTGAAATGTGCCAAATATCTAGGAGTCACTCTTAATGATCGTCTTACCTGGACTGACCATATCAACAATGTTCGAAGCACTGCACTAAAAATTATCAAGTGTTTGCTTCCTATATTCAGTAAATACTCTAGAATGGATTTGGGGAAGAAAAGACTTGTTTATCTCTCTACAATTAAACCTATTTTGATTTATGCATCTCCTGCCTGGGCGGCAGCCAAAGACTCAGATGTAAACAAACTCCAAATTGTTCAAAATAAACTCCTGCATATTATCACGAACACACACTATTATGTCCGCAACAAGACCCTCCACGAGGACCTCAAAATCGATACCATCACGGTACATCTGTGAAAACTTAACAATAAATTCTTCGAAAATGCACAGGAGTGTAACTTCATGAATCATTTCAATATATTTCATTATGAAGTTCTTACCGATGATCGATTTCTTCGACCTTTCGTAGCATATATACTTAGTGGAAATGAAAATTTCTCCACCTAATACGAAGTTAGTGGAAATTTTGATCTGTACATTATTTTCTTTTACTTTACTCCAGAATACTACATTTCTTCAATATTCAAGAAGCACTTCTAAAAGTCAGCAGCTGGGAGAGTGACCTCCCACGTGACCTAAGAACTTGAGTTCTATGTTCAGCCTTGTTGTAGAACTTTCTGCAGTTTTAGGACGAAATTTCTGATGTTCCTTACATTTATCATATTGAAGAACATGGGAAAAATAGTGATTTTTCGCTATTGCCATTATTTAATTATTTTACTCGTTTCATCAGTTTTGGACAAGTTTACGCCAAGCGAATCAGAATGCCTGATTCCGCTCACGTGATATGTGACTGCTTATTCTAAGAATGCTCTGAGATAGACACTTGAATTTGTATATATGTATATTGTGTTAACGTTTGTTCTGCATTTATTCTGTTATTTTGTAACACTTACTAAAATTATGGCATATTTGCTTTCCTGAAACATCTTTGACTGTTAAAATGAAAACATGATTCTGTTTACAACCCCTCCCATCACGTTATCATGGACTACGGACTTCAACTTACAGGACTGCTAGACTGTATTAAGTGATGAAATTTGGTTTATTCCATATGTTGTTACTCCGATGATTACTAGAAAAATTTCCCTTTTACGTAATTATTTCTGCAATTTTGTACATTTAATGTTTTCTTCAGCATTTCTAACCTGAAATCTCGCAATGTATCAACGACTACTTCACACATCGCGTGACAAGGTAGTCACGCCCTCTCAACATCTGCAATCCTGAGGTCTCACTCATGCATTCTAATACTTTCAGCGCTCTATAGCAAATAACTTAGACAACCGGAACAAAACTTGCAATTCCTGCAAGTTAATCAGTGGCGCATCCAGCGGAACTTAGAACTTGGATTTTCTAGTCGTCGTCACCATGTTCCTAACATCTCTCTCTCTCAGGTCCAAGTTGCTGTGCCCAAGTACCAAGCTCCCTTTTGACTCGCTAGCTCCTGAGCCGGCTTTCTGCTGACTGAATCCAGCTCTTCTCTCACCACTGCTACTGCCACCAGATGGTGACACGTGCAAGAACTTCTAGTTGACTTTTTCTCTTTTCCAACTTCCTCCTACTTCTGGATCCACATGAAATCCCCTCAACATCAAGTCCTCTGGGAAGTACTGCTTCAAACCGTAGAAACCCAGCAAACCATCTTAGTATCTTTCCAGTTGCAGATTTCTTTGCTCCTGATGAAGAGGGAGTTTGTTAGCCCTCAAGATCGATAGGGTTCCTATACACAGGTTGTTGCTTCACTTTTATGATATATTTGTATGCTGTATTTTTTTAAATATTCATATATTTAAGTCATTTTAAAAATATTTATATACTGATTAAATTTATAATCATGGAAGTTTCATAGGTATTTTATGACATTCTTGTACTTTTGACGATTTGTTTTACCAATTAATTACCATTTAAATTGTGTACTGCATAATCAGTGACATACTGTAAACAACACAAAGTGCACAAAAAAGGAAAACGTAGCTTATAAAATAATGAAAATCCTCATTAAATTTGTATGCTATTATTTTTATGTTACTAATAAAATATTTTTTAGATTATAAATACACTAGAAACTATACTTTTATTGTAAATGTTATATATTGAAGCATTTGAAATTTATGGATTTATCATTATGCTCAATGTGTGTGTGTGTGTTATTATGGCAAAGCCTCGAGGGCTATCTGCCTAAAGGGAGGGATGCCTTTCGTGGAGGACTTTCTAAGGGAAACCTGGCTCGTATACACTTTACACATGGGGAAACCACGAAAACGCCCATGCAGCCAGCCCGTTCGCGGGATTCGAACCTCGGACCGAACTACCAGTGTTCAGCGACTTTACCGCTCGGCCGCTGGTGGGCCTCATTATGCTCAATGAAAAACATTTGTATATATACATTCATTAATATAAACCGTACTCATTATATTAATACAGTCAAAAGTCGTTAATCCGGACTCGTCGGGACTTCGGCGATTCCGGATTATAGATCATCAGTTTAAATCTGGTAAGATGGCATGCAGAAATTACAAATTAAAAATATGAAACCGTAATTATGAAATAAAGAACAATTATGATCTAAAGGGTATCAAAATTTACAAAAACAAAAAAAAAAAAAAAAAAAAAAAAAAAAAAAAAGAGCTTAATATTTATTTGTTTACTTTATTAACATTTCTTTCAATGCAAGTTGTTCAAGTTGCTTCGTTTTTATGTGATAATACTTTCTCTTAATTCTATTAAACAGACATAATTTCTTGTTAGTTACAAAGTTCCGCTGTTCAAGTCCTATAATTGCTGTGTCGAGAATACCGACTAATTTGTCAATCGAGATGTTTTCATTTTCAATAACCTCTCTGTCACTTTCTTCACTATCGGAAGCGAATTATAATGACGAGGAACTTGATTTAAATCATATCAAAGACGGAGTACATCGAGATGAAATACTACATTTAGTAAGGAATTATAAGCCAAATAAAATATAAACATCTGCCCTGAAGATAAGGATAGTGCTGACAGATCAACTTCCGGCGTTGGCGTTTCTCCCCCCCCTCACTGCCGCAGAGCAGCATGAAATTGATAAACAGATTTCGGATTTCAAAACATACTTTTGCTTTATAGATCCTTTATATATTAGTAAATATATATCGGAAATCCTATTTTACATAATCGAAAGTTCAAGCTTACTTTTATAAAATTGCTCTAACAGTCTGCAAAAAATAATAAGCCGGATCCAATTCGAAGATTAAGTAACGACGCAATCTGCAACATTAACTGAATTAGATAATTTTAAATTAGCTTACCATCCATTATACATTAAACGCGCATGCGTAAACGTGTTATCCGCTTGCGCACGTGCACATTCCGTAAAGGTCTTACGCGCACGCGTAAACGCCTATTCGCATGCGTCAACGCAATGCATGCGCAGAAAGTTTGTAGCTTTGAGGTCCGGATTATGGGTGTCCGAATTAACGACTTTTGACTGTACTAATAAACATACATCAACAACTTCTAAAACATTGCATCTCTCTCTACGCATATGTAAATACATGACTTATTAAATGTGTATACAGTCAAAAGTCTTTAATCCAGACTCGTCGGGACTTCGGCGATTCCGGATTATAGATCATCAGTTTAAATCTGGTAAGATGGCATGCTGAAATTATAAAATTAAAAATATGAAACCGTAATTTATGAAATAAAGAGCAATTATGATCTAAAGGGTATATAAAAAAAAAGCTTAATATTTATTTGTTTACTTTATTAAACATTTCTTTCAACGCACACAAGCGTAAAGCATACATTACGCATAGTCGAAATTAGAAAATTGCAACCAGAAAACTATTTGATTTGTATTCGTGATATTTATAATGACGAGGAATTTGATTTAAATCATATCATAGATGGAGTACATCGAGATGAAATACTACATTTAGTAAAGAATTATAAGCAGAATAAAATAAAAACATGTGCCCTGAAGATAAGGATAGTGCTGACAGATCAACTTCCAGTTCATTGCGCGCCGCGACGTTCCCTTCGCGCAGAGCAGAGTGAAATTGATAAACAGATTTCGGAATGGTTAGAGAAACAAAAAAGCCTTTATCCATTTTTTGCAGCAATTCCACTTTTTGTTTAATGGACATGGAAACATGCTTTCCTTTTGTAGATCCTTTTGCAGCTCCAGCATCGGAAATTCTATTTGACATAATCGAAAGTTCCAACTTACTTTTATAAAATTGCTCTAACAGTCCGCAAAAAATAATAAGCCGGATCCAATTCGAAGATTAAGGAACAATGCAATCTGCAACATTAACTGAAATAGATAATTAGATAATTTTAGCTTAGCTTATACCGTTTGTTATACATTAAACGCGCATGCATAAATGTATTATGCGCATTCATACATGCATATGCGCAGAAAGTTTGTAGCTTTGAGGTCCGGATTATATATCATTCTGGATTATGGGTGTCTGGATTAACGACTTTTGACTGTATATGAATATAAAAATGAACATTGTCAAAAAGGTTATTTGAAGTCCCTTCTAACTCAGATAATGATCATGCAATTGACAACAATTGTACTCATCAGTTCTTTGCATATTATCCTGGCTATGGTATAACCCAGCTGAAAAATAACTGATGAGCATAGACACGAAAGAGAGTACACGTTTTGTTTTTGGGATAATACATAATTACATCCTATGCATGACTTACATGACATGGACTATGAATAACAAAAAGTTTAACAGCTATACATTTATAAAACATCTCATCACGTAAAACATACAGTGCACAACCGATTATCACTTTGATGGGTGTTTATGCTTTGCATCCCATTTCTATTCAAGCAAATAAACCTCTTTAAATTCTTATGATTTTTAATCTAAAGGTGCATTAAATGTTTAAATTAAAATTACATTTGTCAGGATATCACTGCTCAACATGTAGAAGTGCTACGAGTTTTTTGACATTAACATTCACAAATGGTCGAGTTTTAGTATTCACACTGCAAATTTTGCTGAAGCTATCTAGCAGATGATCATATAGTTAGATCAGAATCATTGGCAAGCTCCGTAAGGAGATGCTTAGCTTACAGTTTTCATACCTTAACCTGAGAAGAACATTTCTGTATGCTGTACATAAAAATGGTACATACAGATTGTTTATGATTCTTGGTATTTACTCAATGAAATTTATAAACTATTTTGTTTGTTTATTAACTAGCAAATTGCAATTTTTTTCCGTTTATATATAATAAGGAAAAAACTGCATAACTGAACTGAGAATTGGTTAGTATTTAACTTAACGTAAATCGCTTGCATCCATTATTTTGTTCCTTTCAGATGAGAATCTTAATAAAAATCAAATTATCAAAATTTAAAAACAAATACAAAATTCGAAACAGAAAGTTTCTTGAAAAGTATTAAATCGGGATATTTTCCAGGATTATAAATATTTGTGCAAGTTCAGCTTACATAACGTGAGTGTACCGTATTCAGCGCTACCAGTGTAATGAAACACAACATTCAGTTACCGAGAAACAAGGAAGATAACGGCAACTTTACTTTAAACTAAGAAGCGCTTTATTAAAAGGAATATAATTCATTATAACTCACCACACTTAAACACAGATACCTGCTTAAAAAATTCTTAAGTAAACCAATAATGTAAAGAAAACAGAATAATAAACGTCAATTCGACGTACTGTTGCCATTCTTTATTTCCTAGAGTACAAATGAAAGATTTTGTTCGGGAAAAAATTTCCAAAGTGCAAAATAAGCGCATGAGGCCAGAGAAATCTAATTTCAGCTACCTTGTTTTGAGAACGTAGATTGTCAAGAGATTGGAGCTGAGAAGAGTCATTCATTCCCATTTTTCAATGAGCGAATTCGCCATTTTGCGACTCAAGTTATAAGATTGACAGTACAGAACATGCAGTTATTCACTGCAGAAAGTACGAGTGCCAGAAACATTATGCTCAAGAAGATGAAAATTAGCAATATTGACCTCTTAGCTGATCTTTTAAATCATTGTAATAAGAAACCTTGGAGATATTATTTCCTAGGCAAATTTGTCATCAAATACATCATAAAGAATTCTTAAGTACTATTAGTGTAAGGGTTTCGTTTTCGGACCGACATTCTCCCCCTAAATTGGAGGGAATGCGTCCTTGTGGTTTAACATGTAAATAACATTATATTTGAGTTGAAGCATAAGGCGCCAAAGGGAAGCCAAGCTTCAAGAAGAAGAAGACTGTTATCTGCCAGTATAAAATCCGTGGAATTGTAGCTTAGTAGCGTCTCGCTCTAGCGTTGAAGTTGCTTCACGCATGCGCAGTAGGTATATTTTCAGCATGGTAACCTTCGTGCTTGGCCGAAGAACGTATCTATGTATGTTTGGCTTGGCATTGATTTCAGATTTCTGCGATTCGTAAGTGAAGTGTTGCTGAATGTATGAAATTCGGTCACTTTGTGCCCAATAATGTGAGCAATTATTTGCTTTGTGATTATTAAAAAAAAATCACCATTAAATACTGTATTTATTTGTTAGCTGAATTGTGGAATTAAGTTTCTCAAACAACATTATTAAATGCCTGGTGCAATGTATGGCCGTCTTTTCTGCTTATTGAAACTGAGAGTAATGACAGTGAATTTTCTGGTTTTAGGATCAGTGCAGCAAGGGTTAAAGCAAGAGAATTGCTTTTATATACGAAAGTAAATGAGGAGGCTTTGCAAGAAAAAGATATCCTTGAATGCATGTGTTCAGATGAGCCAACACTGGCGTATCAGATGACCAATGATAAAATCATTGCCTCTGTTTTGAACTCCCCACAGCAAGAAAACAATTTCAACACGAATACTGAATTTGATAGGAATTAGAAAATTTTTTTTAATGAGGGTTTGGAACATGGTAATAAATCAAGGACCTTTAGCTGCCCTCGAAATCGATCGTTTCATTATACCTACGCTAAATACAAGGTTGTTTTTACGATTTTGATTGTCACATTAGCGTGTTTCTCTTCTAGTCTATGGTGATAAATACCTAAAATTTTTAGAACAGAGCTGTGTCACAGAGGAAGAGATTCCGACTCTATATAATTTATAAAAAAAACTTACAATGGAGCACCTTAAAGTTTTAGAACAAACCTCTACCAGAAAGTTTTAAATGCGTTAAAAAATTATGATTTATTAATAGCCCTCATTTTTATATGACTTTATTGTATATGTCTTTAATGCTTTTAAATATTCCCGTAATCAATATAATATATGTATATGATAATAATTTAACGCATATAATAAACTAGTGTATATTAATGTAATAATTTGTTTGTATATTATTATAATAATATAATTAAACGTACTTAATATGTCTTATTTATTTCACACTTATAGTATAATATTATAATTTATCTATTTGTCTTGAAATCCTCAAAACCTGTGGTCTCAAGCATTGCAAATATCTGGGCTTCTACTGTACAACAAAATTCAAATCTCATACTAGTGATAAAAAACTTTAAAAATTTCCTGAACTGGAGGAAGTTCGCTACAAAACATCTTTCTGTAAACTTTCTAATATGTTCCTCTGTGTCTAGGATTTTTAGCCGTCAGGACATATTTTTCTTTACATGACTGTATTATATCTTGTCATATTATACTCGTATTAAATTTATTAATTCTGTTTACCTTTTGTATATGTAATAAAGGTTGCTTGTAATGTATATAGTTTTTTACAAGTATGAGATGTACATAAATTACACATAGTTAGAAAATTCAACTTAGTTTAGGAATGTAGATATGTTTTTATTCTTTGCAATATATTATTTTCAGAATTCATCTAAAATTTCACTGCAATAAGCTTCTAAGCAAATCCAATGTTTATTCTTATTTTTTAAATTTCTTTTTAACATTTATGACCTTTATCAACAAAAATAATTATTATAGTAAAATTAGAAAATCATTATGTTGTATTTAACGAACTGATTAACGTTGATTGCTGTGGGGGGTCACCAGTGGCCGGCACTCAATTTGGCTACAGCACCTTGGGGACCACCAACCAATAGTAAAAATACATAATTAGGTAAATATTGATGCTGATAAATTTTTAAATAGTACCATAGATACTATTAATGATTTCAAGAATTAATTGCAAAAATTTAAATAATAAATTGCAATAATGGTCTACAGCACCTTGGGGATCAACGGTGATACCCACTATAAAAAATGCACGTTACATGATTATACAACTCACCTTATCTTCTGTAGGTAATATTTCAACACAATATACATTGCATGATAAAAAAAATCATCTTAGTGCCATGGCCAAACTACGTAAAATGCACACAGCAGTCAAAGTATTAAGAATTAGTAATTTAAAATAATACACAGTGATGAGATGTCTTGTATAGACTTTTCTTTTGTAACATTTATTATTAGTTATTAGAAAAATTGGAATTGTATATTATTGCAAGGAATTTTTGGCCATAAGTCTATAATGGAAGCTACTGGGTATTCAAAGATTATCTGTATGTATAAAAATTATATTACTAGCCTATTATCAAGAAGTTTAGTGTTCTAGATTGTGTTGCTGTGATAGTGGCCTTGTACTGTGTTATGATTCGACTCTCCAATATTTAGTAACTGTAAGGCAGTGATTTGGAGTTCTTCTTTTGTAGGTTTACACAATTTTTTTTTCTGTGTTTTTTTCTTTCTTTCTCCCTTTTTTATAGAAAATAAATGCCTCTGGGGCACATCAATTTTTTTCTTCTTTGTCACACCTTGCAGTATAATGTTTTTGTTAGGAGAACCAGCAGTTTCAAGTTCAAAGAAAAGCCTGTCGTTCTGGGCACAGAGTGCATCCGTGACGGTTGCATTGTGTCGACCAATCTTTTATATTGTGACGATACTCAGCATCAGTTTTTATCGAACATGTCATAAATAAAATATTTTCATTCATATTCTGAACTTTTTCCATCAGAGTTTTGGAAGTGCTAGGTGCATTTTTTCCTAATTATGATGAAATTATATCCTGCTCGGTAAATTTGTCATCATGATCAGTACATAAATCATTATGGTCATCACATTTTTGTATTTTTTTCTGTACTGACATACAGAATGGTTATGCTTGCACATATTCCATTTTATACTTGCATCTACGCATGTACAAGTATATTTGTTAATACATGCATTGGCTTCAGTACAATCATTAACTTTTTGCTCGACCAGATTTCAGAACAATCACTTGATAAACTTCCCAACCTCTTTCATTCTGAATAACTGAATACGATTCAGTTGGGATTATCTTGTTTCATTTGCACATACTTTGTAAGTTGCTGCACAGTTTACCCTTGTTCAGAATAATTAGTCTGATGATCAATTTATCAGTGATAAAATTCATTAGTATTGTTATAGACTTGTTGAGTCATTTAGCTATTTTTTCTATTAAGGTAGAGATACTTTATAGTCTTGTGCATCCTTTCTAGATACATGTTTGTATTGATGCCACACTGTAATATGTCCATGCTGTGGCATTTTTTGCATAATGACTCGTGAAACACTGCCCGAAGGTTAAGTGAAGTATCAGAGTCATTTAGTAATATTTTGGTTGCTGCTTGTAACATATTTTCAAATGCTGAAATATCCCACTCTTCTAATAAAGTTTGCAGTATTTTATAAACGTCCAGTTGTTTTTCTTTACTAGTTACTTTTTTGAATTGTGTTCATCATGCTCTATCCACATGCCAGCTACAGAAAAGCCATTTTTTTGGAGCTGGCATGGTTTGGCACCACCCGTTAAGAAAATTATTGGCCATGTCTGACATAAATACGTCAAGCTGAATGTTTCCACATGCTTTCTGAATATGCGAAAAAAAACAGGGCCATTACTGTTTGATCGTTTCTGCTACATATGGAGAGAGCACAAGGAAACCCATGAAGAAGGTTATCGAGGACCAACAGTGTGATAAGTTCAAACCCATAATGGGTCCCATCAACACAAATACAGTCTTAACCAAATTTTTCTAACATGTGATACTGAGCTTCATTCATAAATTATAAAAATAAAATCTTCAAGGTTAAGCTCAGGGTAAATGTCACTTAGCTGATTTATAAAAGAGCACACAAGAATTTTCTGTGCCCTCCATTTCACGAACCCACGAGTCCACAGTTACTGCATCATCTGTGTGTCTTACAGATCACAGATTGAAGTGGAATTCAATATTATGTAAATCATGGCGAGATATTAGATGCATACGTGTCTGATCACCTGCAATAGAATCATGAATTTCGCCTAAAATCCTTTCAAAAGGAATACCAGCAGCAATCTTGGAAGCTAAATACATTCTAGCTTTCTTTGAAAGAAACATATGTCCAACATGAGTCTTTAAGTATTGAACACAGCATTTTCCATCAGTTTCAATAACTGTAATACTTGCTGGACAAAATCTTTTTTTTTTTTACCCCTGTAGTTTTAAATGTCTTCTGGTGTATAAACACCAGAACAATGACACAAAAAAGTAGTATCTGAATTTCTTTTTTAGGCACCACATTCGACTATAAAACTGCATTTTGTCTCGGTTTCAATGCCCTTTTTACATACAGTAAATTCTTGAAAAGAAGTTAACTGCAAATCTTCAGTTACAAGACATTTATCATAGACGCTTTCAAAATGCTTCAGCAATTCTGCCTTTGTAGATGTAGCGGCCGTAGATTTCGTCGGAATGAATACGTTTTCGAACACTCCAAACATACAGAATTACCTTCCTACTACTGACGCTAAATATAAGAAATCAGTAACACCTTAACTGACTTCAAACTTCTTATTCATGCTGACTTCTGCAACGTGACAATATTTAGTGGAATAATGTCTTTAGTTGCCAATCTCGTGATGCATCGCTAATTCTGTATAACGGACAGCAGCCAATAACGCCAACGAAGCTTGTCACTGCGCATGCGCGAAGCAACTTCAATGCTAAGGCGAGAGTTTGCGTATAACGAAGTATTCAAACTCACGTGAGTGGGGATAGTTGTGGCCGGATTAAAGATGGATAAAATGTACTTCATGATTGTGTTGTTTGCTGCTCTTACGGTTTTAATTCCTGGAGTTTCAGCTTCAAATTTTGATGCAGGAGA